AGAAACAAATTATTAAAGAGTCAACACAAAACCCTGATGAAAATACCAGAATTATAATAAACAATTTAAAAGAATTTGAGATTAAAACACACTTCTTGACAAGAGACGCAAATGAGTTTTTTTTCATTGATATATTATTTGGTCTTGTACTAAAGTCATTAATAGAATAGTACAATTTATAATTGGTAACAAAGAAAATATAAATAAGATAATTAAAGATCTGATGGAAAAATTCAAACAATATATAAGAACAAATATATAGGTGAGACATTGTAATAAGATAAAAAGGTGGGAATTAGAAATAATATACAAATAGAAACAAACATAAAGTTTTAACTTCATCAAATAATAACCAGGTTACAAATATAAACAATAACAATAATAATAATAACACTTATAATAGTAACACTAATACAAATATAGATAAAAATAATATAGTTAGCTAATTTTTTTATAAAGTTATCAAAGAAAGGGTAAAATGAACAGAAGCATATAAAATAGGTTGTTCAACAAGCCTTAATATATTGAGGACAAGTTTACTTGTCGAGCGGTAAGTTGCGAACATGTCTTATATAAGTTAATTTGAGTCTCATCTTTTTAAATAAACATTAGAATAAATTGTGTATTTTGTATTATGTAATTTTATATAATGTAAAAGACTTTCTCTTTTTCTAATTAATAAATTTGAGGAAAGACCTCATTGAAACAAAAAAAAAAATAATAATAATAAATAATGGTAATAATGATAATGATAATAATAATAATAATAATAAATAAATAATAATTTTTTTGATAAAAATAGATAAAAATATATTTTTTATTGATTATAATTTTTTCAAATTACATATTATAAGGTCATGTAAATACCTGGATATATTACATTCCACCAAGAGTACATCTCATGAATTGTATCTGGGTACTATACTAGAGAAGTATTTTAGTCAGACAGATATTGTATATAGAACTTTATGGTATTATCAATTAGTATTAAATATATTTAGTAAATAATATGAAAAAATAGTAACCAATAGAAGTAGTACGTAGTAAAATATAATAGTGCACAGTAAGGTACAGTAATGATACAGTAATAAGATCATTAGAATTAAGTATAAAAAGGAATTGAATTTATCTTGTCCCCTTTAATTTACAATTTTATAATTTTGAATTTTGATAATTTGTAACTTATTTGAAATTGATAAATTTAATTTTATAATTTGTAACTCCAAGATAAACACTTGTAAAAATTATCCTGAAATTGAATTAAATAAATAATAACTATTAAAAATATAAAATAAAAGTTATAAAAAATAATTATTAAATATAAAATATAATAATTAATAAAGGAATAATGGATATTATAAGATTAAATACTTGATTGTATAATTGTATAATATTATTATTCTTAAGTTAATGAAATTAACTATAAATTATTATTATAAATCCTGGAAATGGAATAATATTTAAGTTTGATAAATTGGAGTAATTTTCAACATTAATAAAACTAAAAAATAATTAATGAATAATTGTTAATACCAAAAGTAATAATGAACTTAAAAGATATTGGAATAAATTAAATGAAGGGTTTGATTTTTTTTCTAAAATAATTGAATTAGTGATACTTTCTAAAACAACTAAATAACAGTTTTACTTTTAAGAAATAATTATAAACTCCTCAAAAGAACCATTACATTACTATCCTGATTAGTCCTTAAGAAAACTAGAAATCTCTGATGACAACATTCTAGTATATTATAAAGATAAAATATTTAAATAATATACCAGAATATTGTATTCTAATATTTTAGTGCCATTCGAATAATACTATAGAATGGTATTCGTATAATATTGTAGAATGTTTTCTGATATAAGTTTTTATACAGATATGTATGTGCAAGAAGTATTAATTAAATTTGATAATTGGTATATCATATGATCAAAATAATATATACAGGTTTTATTATATTTGAATTTCTTCTATAACACATGTTATATGATAGGTTAATTATTTTAACAGAGAATATTAAATTATACAAGTTATTATTAAACATAAATTATAAATATATTCACAAAATATATATATTTCTTCAGTATTTCATACCAGCTTAAGCTAAATTATTTATATCTGAAATGATTTATTATCAACATATATTTATATTAAAAATCTCATAACTATTTATCAATACAATTTAGAGAATTATATGTTTGATATATGTCAATTTACATATTTCATATATTCTTATCCCTATATATCACTTAAATTATAGTGAAAATAATATTCTTGAAAAAATAGTTTGAGAATTCAATTTACATAAAAATTGAATTGCAAATTTATAATATATAAAATTATTAAATCTAATAGGTTTAAATTTCTAAATTTGATATAAATCACATATAACTTTCATAAATATTACTAGTTAAATATAAAAGAATTACTGTATCAAATGATAATTCCTATATTATAAATTAGCTAAAAATTAGTAACAATTGACTGTCCTATTGTATCCTATATTATAATTAACAAAAATTGGAATTTTTTTTTAATTACAATAACTTTATATAATTTATTTAAAAATTAAAGATTTATCTATAAGAAAAATATAGATTTCATATGTAAATATAAGTTTGAATTAATTATAGGTAGATTTATAAAATTTTGAAATTTTATTAAATATTTAAATAAAAAAGTTTTAATTTCAAAGTTTTTTTTAAAAAAATAATTATAAAATTTAATTAAAAAATTAATAGACTTATCTAATAAAGAAACATAGGAGAAATGCAGATTTCAATTTGCAGTTAAATTTCTATTCATCTATGGATTGACAATTAATATTTAAGTTATCTTTATTCTCTCATCAATTAAATCTTATTATACATATTATCAAAACTATTGAATTTAATTAAATGCCAATTAAAATTATAGAAATTGAAATTAAGTCATATGAAAAATTAATGTAATTGACACAATTGTCAAAGGCTTTTTACTTTTGACAATATATATAAAGCTTATACTTTATTTAAATGGAACTTTATTATTAAAAAAAAAGACCAATTAAGTAATAACATATTATATGAAATAACATGTTTTCAAGATATATTTTTTATGCAATATTAAATTCTTTGTTATTTATCAGATTTCAGAAACATTCTTTTCTATAGTTGATTTGTCTATTTTTGTTTATATAAACCTTTCTGTTTTTATCAAGTTCAAAAAAGATGTGTCATTACATAAATAAGAATATAATATATTTAAAAAAAAAGATAATTAATATACAAATGTTTATTTGATTTATATTGATTTTGATATAAAGATAAGTTTATATAAATTTTAGTGACCTAAGAATCAAATTTGGAATCCTAATATTACTTTAATATCACTTTAGAGTAATCTATAATGACAATTTATATCAATTAACAAGAGACACTTTTATTATTCCCTTTGAATATATACAATAATGCTTTATTGTTGACATAATTCAGAATGTAATCCTTTATTTTTTTTTTTATTTCTTATTGCATTCTTTTAAATTCGTCATCAGTTTCTTGACACATCTCAGTTATCAAAATTTGGTATCATCATTCTGTATATTCTGCATTTTGCAAATCCAATATTGCAATTACCAAATTTATAAGTTTAATAATAAAAATAGTCAACTTTAAAAGCATTCATCATCATAAAAATTTAATTAGTCAAAAAATACTTTCTGTGATTTTAATCTTCTAGTCTTTACATTTTTACAAAAAAAAAAATTTGCTTCCAAATACATTTTTATTTTATGAATAAATTTAAAAAATCCTTATTTCATTTGCTGGTTTAAGGTGTCCCGAAAAAATACTACTGGTAGAAAATTTGGGATTTGTATTCGAATACATAATGGCATCTACTTTATCTTTCGACTGGACAAATTAATAATTAAGTGATTTCCCTAAACTTGGGTTAGAAAAGTTTATCATAAAAAAATTTGTCTACACTAGGACACAAACGGGCGTCATCTCCCCTTTTGATCAAGCTTTATTATAATGCAAATAATACATATGAGACAGAACACTTTGTTCACCTATTTATGATTTGATTTTTTTTGGTTTTGGCCCTTTTATTTTGTTGGGGAAATATTAGTTTCACTATGATGATTATTTCACACGAGCAGTACAAAAAATAAATTAAACATTGATGTTAATGTTTCGTTTATATTCCTTTTAATTTAATTAATAAAGTTTTGAAACGCAAAGTGTCCCTGAACTTAGAGAAATACGGAAATGTAAATGCACATGGCCTTGTATCCATTATTTATTGGTAGAGACAAGAGCGTTCTCAACTTAGCAAACCTAATTATAGGATGTAAAATTGCCTTTTTTATTCTGACAAATAAGAAAGTGCCACGAATTATAGGCCGATCATACTTAGGCAAGCTTTAACTACCGTGTATCTATGGATATTAAAAATTTGCATATTTGGTTATTCGATTAGTATTGTATCTACTACTCTCACTGTAAATTTTTCATAGATTTTTTTTTTTTTTTATCAAAAAAATCTTATATTAATAATTTTAAAAATTACTGTAACCATAAATAATTTTATTTTAACTTTGATCAACTATGATAATCAACTCTAATTTTTTAATTTAAAGAGATACTGATTCAATTTAAATTATAACCAATTTGGTAGAAATAATTGATAACCAAATCTTTCTTTAAATGTGTAGTTAATTAAAATTTTTTTTTCCAAAATAAATAATATATAAAAGATATAATAGGTTTAGCTTATTTTAAAAAACAGCCAAATTTCCATAAATACGAAAATTGCGTGCTATTTATTTGAATTTAAGTAAATTAGTTTGACAAAAAAAAAAAAAATAAAGTATTCCACCAATAATATGAAAATTGAATTTTAGTTCTCAGGTATAAAATGGTTCGATTTTTTTTTAATCTAGATTTCGTTCTTTTAACGAAAAGTTCAATTTTATCAATTTCATTTTTTTTTTTTTAACGAAACATAATTAAAAATGGTTCTCCGTCTTGGTGATGAAGCTCCCAATTTTAAAGCAAAGACCACTAAAGGTGAAATTGATTTTCATGACTTCATTAAAGGTTCATGGGTAGTTTTATTCAGGTGAGCATTATTAACATTTGTAGTAGCTAATAATAGCTAATTATTAATAGTAACTATAATTAATTATTTAATTAACAATGATTTATTAATTTATTTTATTTAATTATTTTTTATTTTATTTTAATTATTTCTTATTTAATAGTCACCCAGCAGATTTTACACCAGTCTGTACTACAGAACTTGGAGAAGTAGCTCGTCGTCATAAAGATTTTACAGATCGTGGTGTAAAAGTTATTGGTCTTTCAGCCAATGGATTAGAAGATCATGAGAAATGGGTTGATGATATTAATGAGGTTAACAATGTTACTGTTAACTTTCCTATTATCGCTGATGCTGATCGTAAAGTGGCAACTTTATATGATATGTTGGATCATCTTGACGCCACTAATGTCGATACCAAGGGAATTCCTTTCACTGTTAGAAATGTTTTTATTATCGATCCCAAAAAGACAATTCGTCTTATGATTACTTATCCTGCTTCTACTGGTAATTAATAATATTTATTATACATTTATATTTATTATACATTTATATTATTATATATTTATATATCATTATTATATGTTTATTATAGGTCGTAACTTTGATGAAGTGATTCGTGTCATCGATTCTCTTCAATTAGGTGATAAGCATCGTATCACTACTCCAGCAAATTGGAAGAAAGGTGACGAAGTTATTATTCATCCAGGAGTTTCTAACGAAGAAGCAAATGAATTATTCCCTAATTATAAAACCCTTAAACCATATCTTCGTATGACAAAATCTCCTTTCTAAATTATATTAATGATATATTAGTTACATAATTAATATTTCATAAATGAAGTTGTAAACTGTAGTAAATATTATTAATTTTATTTCACAAATAAAAATAATAAAAATTATCATTTTTAAAATTTGTAATTTGAATATAATTCTAAAATGTACATATATATATACATATATAAGTGTATATATACTGTAAATGATCATCTAAATCCTGCTCTTTTATTAAGTTTCATTTTTTTGTTAATTTCATCCAATTCTATTTGGTTTGGCAATTCTTCGGAATCCAATATCTCTGTTATCTCTGTATTTGAAACAAATCTCTCAGTACTTTCTTCGGGACCATAATAATTATCATGTGTCTCTATTTGACTTGCGGATTGATCATTATTAACTCTTATTAAATCATCACTTTCTGTACTTTCAAAATAACCCTTATTTAATGGTAAATGTTCATAAAATTCAAATTCATCTCCTCCATTTCCTTTATCTCTTTCATCTCCTATATTTTTATTACGTTTAAATTCATAATCTTTAGGATCTTGTCCGATTATCCAATCATCTAATAATGATTGTGCTAATTCTGTAAGTTCGAATAATTGAAGATCGGTAATATCTGGTTGTTTTCCAATGGATTTTGAATGAGTGCATTTAAGTGATATGGGTTCATAAATTTGCGAGTCACTTGTAAATTTTGAAGGAGGTAAAAAATTTGATGTCAAATAAATATTGTCAAATGTTGATGACGATGAAGATTGCTCGTTCTTTGCCATTAAAGAATATGAACTAAGAGCTAAATCATTAGCAACTTCTTCTATAGTAGAATTACGAATAAGTTTAATATTATCATCAACATTTGAAGTATTTGTTCCATTTAATAATTCATTTTCAAATTGTTGAATATTTTCATCTTCCAAATCATTTATATTAATTCGATGTATATCTGACGCAGGTAATAAATAATATTTTCGTAAATTAAATTTAATTTCTTCAACTAATTCTTTATCCTTATTGATATTATTAAATGGAAATCCATAAAAAGGCAAGTAAGTATTGATTAAATTATATTCTTCAAAATTTTCAGATAATATCTTATTCAATATTATATTAGTGTCTACACTTGTCCAGTCAATTATTCTTTCGGTTTTTTCGTATTCAAGCGATTTCGATTTCTTTTCATTACTTTTTTCTTTATTTTCTAAACTATTAATTGGTTTTTGTTTTCCATATTGTGTTACACGTGGTAATCCTGAATTTTCCATAAAATCCAAGTTTGGCATATTTTTCAATAATTCATATCTAATTTAAATAGTATTTAGATTACATTTGAATCAAGAATTAAATATTTTAATTTTTTCTTAAAAATGAATAAATAAATAATAATAAAAAGGATACAAAGTCATCGGATGAGCTGCTTTATTAATCATTTCAAAAATTATATCTATGTTTTCTATGCTTTCCATGTTTTTTTCCATGCTTTCTATGCTCTCCGTGCTTTCTGCATTTTCAATGTCTGGTCTTTGGATTTGATAATTTATAAACTTACTTTGATGATTTTGATAAGTTATTAATTGTGCGTTTGGTAAAAGATCTGGATCAATCATATTCTTTTTAATCCATCTTTCAGATTGATATATAGATGTAAATGTTTCGTGATTATGATTGTTATTAAATTTAGTCACAAATATTCGATTATCATTCTTTGATCGACTAAAGGTTACTTCCCAATAACACGGAGAAAGTCTTCTTTTAACAACTTTTTTATCCGTGCAAAAGAAACTTATCGATAGTACATATCCTAATACGTCTTGTATCACAGATTTTTTTCCACAATTGAAACCTGCAACTTCAGTGTAAAATTCAATATATCTTTCCACAGACTTCCACGATAAAAACACTATTCCAATTTCAAAAGATTCCGGAACCGAAAATTTAATGAATGGATATCTTAACTCTCTAGCAGCATCTTTTAATAATAATAATAATAATAATAATAATAATAATTTACTAATTATAATACATTAATCCAATTAAATTATTAATACGACATAAAACTTACACTTCCATATTCTATCAAAAGACCACGTTTGATGTCTTTTCAACTGAATTTCAGGATTAGTTCCAACATCTCGGTCTGCAAAAGTTTGTAATGCACTCACAGAACTTGGCATTTCAATTATTTGCATATCACTTTCCATAGATGGTATATCTGGTTCTAAAAATGAGTTAGTATCTTCGTAATTTACATAAAAATCTTGTGAATATAAAGCTCCTGTATATGAAAGTTGCATTGTACTAAAACATGTGCCAAAAATGACAGGATAATCCACGGAAAAATCTTTTTCGAAATGGATATCATTTCGAAGTAAAAGTGCACTTGTTAATGGTGGTAATTTCAAAGGTTGAGAAAGTTCTTCAGTATCTTGAGATTCTACTGGAACATTGGTCAAAGTAGTTCTCAAAATTTTTGATCGGTTATAAGTAGGATGATCGTGAAATGACGGAATTAAAGCAGGAGAGTCTATTGAAGATATTAAACCGGATGAAGAGAAACAGGATCGGAAAACAATTAACTTTGGTGGATTTTTCGTCCATGTCAAAATAATCGATTCTAATATATATTTAAAATTATTAAAATTCCCAAAATGTAAAAAAAGTTATACAAATGTAACATGCTTATTTAATTAATTTGTTTACATACTGTCTTTATCCATTATTGTACTCAAACCGGATGGTTTATCAATATGATGAGCCCATTTGAGTAATTTCCGGTTAGGAAAACGTTGATCTAATAATATAATATTATTTCTTGTTGCTAAAAGAGATTGAAACGAGTTAAACATAGGAATCCGTTGGAATGCAAAGATATGATCTTTATCGTCAATATCGAATAGCTTTAGTTTGGTTGTATCGGAAATAGAAATCTAGTGAATAGATTTTACACGATTAAAAAGAATCCTAATAGGAAAAAACAATGATATAGATAAGAACTTGGTAAAATACCCTAAAATCAAGAACATTCACGTTTGTCCGTGATGCGACATAAAGACATTTCGGATGAGCTGCGAACTCACAAGATCTCCATAAATTTATCAGTTGCACATCTTTTTGATCTTGTGGACTCTCTATGGTATCTATTTTAAATTTATTTGAATTACTTTATAATAAACAAACATAATTTTATTACTTGTTTCAACATAAGTACTAATCATAAAATAAAAATTCAAAAAAATTTTTACAAATTGAAAAAATTTTTTCTTACGCTGAAAGCTGGTAATCTCTTTCGGCTTTCCATAAATAGGTGCCTCCACTAGCATCAACAATCGCAGCTTCACCATACAATATGGGGTTAAAAGTAACGCATGTTTGATCAAAAGAAGAACCAGGAATTTGCCCAGGTACTGAATTTATTACCGATGCTTTTAATTTATTTCTTGATTCGTTCGTTTCTTCTTCGGGATTTTCAATCTGGAAAAAAGTTGTTCCAGTTGTTGTACGTACAGCCATTAGAGCTATAATGATCATAATATTAAAAACATTTGTTCATTCCAAGTACTAAAAATAAATAAAATTAAAAATTTACGTGGTGATAATTGTGATCCATAAGATGTTTCGGGTAATGTAGCAATTATTTGTCTTATTGGAGTTTTAAACTTTAATTTTGAAATAGCCAATAAATCAGCTTCATATTTTCCGATAGAAAAACAATTTCCTTGTGACTTTTTATAATAATTCATAGATATAAAACCTTTAAAAAAAAAAAAAAAAATTAAAATTTTGAATTTAAAATAAATGAAGATGAAGACAATAATATATAAATAATGATCTAAAAAAATCACCACGTACACAATTCCGATCCTGCTTGTCCCATCGGGAATGCTATAAATTTATTGTTTGTAAGTGGCAGATTTCCTAAAACTGAAATAAGTTGTCCACTCATATATGGATCACGATTCTCAGAATCTAGATCATTCATTGATTCTTCAAATATGATATCTCCAAGATATTCACTTGGTATTTCAAATTCAGGATAAATTTCTTGTAAATTTCTAGCCTAATATAATATGATTAAAAATGTGAATATATATATATATATATATATAAAATAAACTATGCTATGTTGAAGTGTCTTAGATAATTTACAGTTTGAACGGATTTTTGATACTTGAGTTCCCTACTAATTTTAACCGAAGGAAAATAACGACGCGTGTGAGGAAATATTTGTGTGAGAGGCATTAAAGAATAAATTTGATCATCTTAAGTTCAAAATAATGAAATATTAAATTTTTGTGAATAATCACTGAAGATAGCTTAATATTAATATTATCATACGTGTTGAGACTTTGTTCATAAAGTGCCAGTAAATTTTATTTTCTCTACTCTCTTTATGAGCGAAACCTCCTAAACGTCCAAAATCTAATGAAGCATGTGTTGGAAATGTTTGAGGCCATGTAAATAAAGGTGCAGATTTGGGATAGGATTGATCGTTCATAATGCAAAGTTTAAAGTCAAATAAAAATTTTGTTCGAAATTTATATTTTTTTGAGGTTACACTGTTGATCCAAATTTTCTGATCACCTGTCAAAAAAAATGGAGATTGTTTAATGCTAGGACTAGTGACTGTAATAAAGAAGTTCGGAATTTCATTCAAGCATTAGAAAGGGTGAAGAAGCTGAGGATGGATAGACTCCAAAGTTTCGAGCAGAGAGTATGAATTATTTTAACATTTTTAATTTATGAATATGTTTATGAAGACAAACATGACAATATATCTGAACTCACATGAGTTATCCTAACCCTCATCACCAACATAAATCCACGTGAAAAATTTTGATCACCTGCCACATTATAAACCAATCAAATCGAAATCATGATGTCGAGAATAAGGTATGACGATAAACTATCAATCACGTGGTATTAGTTAATCAACCGTACAAGCCACAAATAAATCGTACAAGTCACTATTCGTACCGTACAGTTTATCTGTATACCCATTACAAACCTGCGAAGATTTTTATTCAAAATGTAAGTATTAGGACAGAATAGCCTTACTACCATGTTGACAAAAACAAATTTTGGATCTTGTTTTGCAATTTACAATTTATAAAATGGAATGCAGATCTTATTAAAAATAATTATCAAAACGAAACTTTATTAAGATAATATACTCGCCATAAAAGTTTCAGACCTATTGAATGCAAATTGAGTGATTAAACTGGTCATTTGTATAGAATTTAAAAATATTACATTCTTTAGAAAAATCAAATTTTTATTTATATGTTTTTTGTAATAATAACTTTTCTATTTAAAATTTTCTACTTAAGTTAGTCATTTTTCTATATGATTGAATAACTGCCTTTTCTTGTTTCATTTAAAAGAAGTTATATTAAAAATTTTTTTATTGTATATAGTTTAATCCTAATTTTTTTTTCCTAATTCGGGAAATCATGTTAGCTTCGTGTGGGAATCCCATGAAGTTCTGGTCATCTTTTCTGGGTACTTAATGGATACCATTACCCTACGAAGGTGTCTTTTACATATTTCTTTAAGGCTGAGTCACCTAAGCCAAATCTTTATGTAAAAAAGGGGTTTTTTTTTGGTAGCATAGCACAAGCCTTAATCGAAAAAAAAAATTTATAAAAGAATAAAATTTATAAAAATCCTCAAAAAAATATCTTAACGTAATTATTTCCTTTTCCTACGTTGGTACATTTCCCACGATCGATCAATATGCATTAAATTCAAAAAAAATGATTGAGTCTTTTAACAAAAGTCAACACTCCTTAGAACAATGCCTTCTAGCGGAATCGAACCGCTGACCTTCTGCTTACTAGGCAGACGCTCTGCCAACTGAGCCAAGAAGGCGTTGCTGTTGACAAAGCGACTTTATAATTATTTATAAAGACTTTTTTTCTTAAAGGATATAACACATTTATAACATTATGAACGGAATTTTTATGCTCTAATTTTTTTTTTATTAATTAATAAAATCAAATACTATTCATTTGACGTAACACCAGAAATGACACCATTAATTACCCTATTATAATAAATATATAAATGTAAAATAAATATATAAATATATAAATATAAATATTTTTTTTTAAAGTAATTAGAAATATAAATGGATACTTAACAATAATCTACATCGAGATAGGGTACAATTTCAATTTTTTTGCTTTGTTTTTCTTTTTGCCATCTATTTAACCAACCCTCCATTTCTATGCGTCCTTTTTCAGAGCTACATCAAGTGAAAATAATACATTAATTTATCTGAATTCATAAAAAATTGAGTCAAAATAACAGAAATTTAAGATTACCCCTCGGGAACAGTGGATATAATTTGCTTTACGTTTAGCGACATAACAAATGCCGCAAGTTCACGAAAACTAGAATGTTCAGAATAAGGAACTCCAAATATTTGTAAGTTCTTTGTATTGTAATTAGGTGAGATCTCATCTACAGTATATAGAGGTGTCTTTTCTAGTATTTCTTTGGTAGTATTATGAGATGACACTTTCGATTCTGCTGATGGGTTGAAAGTCCATCCAGTTGGCCGAAATGCCATTATATATTTGAATGTTGGTTCATATTTCTTAAGATAGCTTTGCAAGCTCTATTAAAAAAATTTTTTTTTTTGTTCGTTATTCAACGAAAAGAAGACAAAGAAAATAATATGAAAATATACTATCAATATAATTTCATGCCTCAGGTTTTAGTTCACGGATTGAAACGATATGAACAGAAGCTTCGTGGGGATTATTTGTTAGTAATTGTTCCATTTCAGAGTTTTCTTGGCATAAAAGAATCTTTCGTTTACTATCCAACACATAAATTTTTGAATGTAGTGCTCTTGCGATTCCTTTCGTTAAATAAAAAAAAAAGAAGCTCGAATTAATCGTGATGCATGTATATCAAAAGAATTTTCCTACTAAAACAAATGACAAAACTTACCCAGAAATAATTTCTCTTTCCCAATCAAATATGTCCCAACCACAACCAGAATTTTACTATCTTTCAATTTGACTTCTTGTTCTTGAATACTCAGATTGGTAGTACATACGCTTAAATTAATTATCTTCTCACATTCAATCTCTTTAATTACACAATCATTGCTTGCAGTTACTTGCGAACTACCCTTGAACCATTGAGTCAATGAAAGCTGTGATTTGTCTGGTTGTTTCTTGTTGACTTTTTTCTTATTTTTCAAAGGAAGCAGTTCTCCGTTCTTCACCGAGTCTTTGATTAATTGTATAACAGCACTTACAACAAGTTCTTGAGCTGGAAAACAATAACTCGGATTCAAATATGTGGTGTCCAGATATAAGATATCTATATCGGAATTTTTAGGGTCATTTACTGCTGAATGAAGGATTTGACGGGGGCACGCACGAAAATCTCCGGTATGAAGATACCGCATAACTTCTCCATTAGCAAGTTTATCTTTAAATGAAAATAATACGGATCCAGGGCAACTACAAAAATTAATATATCCAAAATTTAGAGTTTATACCGAAACAACTGAAAAAACAAATATAAAAATGGAACTTACTGATTTGCATCAATTAAGGTGACTTTGATTCCAGTGCTTTCAATCTCAACTTCTTCATTCATAGGTAATTTCTTAACGTATTCTTTATTAACTTTTAACTGTTGAATTAATAAATTCCCGGTAACAACTGAACAATAAATAGGTCCATGCGACCAATTAGAAGATAACCCGCAATAATGATCCGCATGGAAATGACTATAAAGATATATTATTAATATTCCATAATAACGCTGTGAACTTCAATATCAATATTTATAATCCATAATACCTTAGAAAATAAGCAGTACAATCCTTAATCCTACCATATTTAAACGCGTCAACTGTTATGCTTGTTCCTAATATATAATAATAAAATAATAATAAGACAAAAGCTATGTTTTATATTAAGGAATTGAAAATGAAAAATACAAATTTCACACCTGGAATCCTTTTATAAAATGGAATTTCTTTCGCTTGTTTCGGGATTCTGGTATTATTCTTTTGATATCCATATTTGAACGGATATGATGGCTTTGGCGTATAAATTTTGCTTTCATATGAAGTGGCCTTGTTTTCACATGAAGTGGTCTGTTTAAAGCTAAAAAATTCTTTCCATGTGGAAGGATTTTTAGAATCTTGAGGTATATTGGTTAAGTTGTTTTCTGTAATATCAGATTCTGCAAGAATTGGTTTTGATTCGATTCTTTTTGTATCAATTACTGTTTTAATATTAACGTTACGTATATTGAGATCAGAATTCTCAAGAGGTGACTCCGATTTTTGCATCAATTCACTTGTAACCATTAAATATTCCACTTTTTTATCCATAACATCGAAATCCGAATCGTCACGAGAAGATTTTGCCTCTGTCATTAAATTACTTGTATCATTAATTTTTTGATCTAATTTGGTCACTTCTGTAGTGTGCGATTCCTATTAAAATGAGAATAACATAATAGTTGAATCTCAATGAACTAAAAATTATTTCACGTTTCAAATAACATCGAATAATCAATAGAATAAATGAGAAAAGAAAGTCTTTGAAACTCGCTTTAGAAAGTGATTTCAATGACTCTCCCCCTGTAGAAGAAGAATTTGTGGCGTCGTCTGTTTCCATTTCATCTATGAATGAATCATGATCTAATTTACGATTTCCATCTTCTGTCTTATGCGGAATTTCGTCATCGGATATTTCTATGAACAAAGAATCTTTTTCTTCTATTCCAAAAATAGAAGTCAGTTTTGAACTCCAATATTTCGGTTGGGATGTACTGATGGGGTTATTTGATGTTTTCATCAATTTCTCTTCAGATCGTTCACCTTACATCATATAATTAGGCTGTTTACATAATCATTTTTTTTATCTTATTACACATTTGTATTTATGAAAATATCTGTATACCTTTTGTATCTGTTCTTGAATTGTTTTGTTCCTTGGGAGAGAAAAACTCAAATAATGTTTTTGAATCATAGAACGCGGTCTTAACATTAGTAGGAGAGTTTTTGCCTGAAGCGTGAAATGTTTTAGACATTTCTGTTCGACTTTTTGTAGTTGAACCACCATTTTTAATAACGGGACTGGACACTTGTTTTTCAAAGACTTTATTTGGAGATCTCAGTTTTTTGATTTCAGTATTCTTTTTTTTATTTGTTGAAGTACGTTTGGATGGAACAAGTGGTGTTTCCGTTATATTTTTGGCCGTATATTCGGCTCGAAGTTTCACAAGCCGTTCGATTGTTCTTTCGTTAAAAACTTCCTGATCCGAATCTTCAGACATTATTTTTGCACTGTTTATAGAAGTCTGTAAAAGGAATACCGTTGGAATGAGGGTAACAAATAGTTGCCAACCTTTTTATTCCAAAGGATAAATTAAGTGCAAAAAAACAATAATCTACCGGAACGAAAGTCAACAGGAAGATTTAAGAACGCGTAAAACTGATCAGGAAATCGCGTTGGGTAAATTAAGGTTAAACACGTGATAGCGTTAAAATAATTTATATAATTTATATAATATTGATATGAATTTTTTTTTATTCGAGTACAGTAATTATTGTTTTGAGAGACAACTTTTAAAATATTTATCATATATCCTTTTTTGTTTCAATCGCTCCATTTTTAGATGATTTGGATGACTCTAACTTTATTGAAGAACGATTTCCTCCAATTGAATAGAGAATAGTTCCAGTAAAAACTAAAAATCCTCCAATTGCCATTCCAATGTGAAACTCGTTATCAAAAAACCAAACCGAAATAACGAGAGATACAAATTTTCGAAGATTTAAGACAAGATTCAATGTTAAAGCGGTGGAAATTGAATTCAGTCGATGAACACCTGACACACAAACGTACCTAAGAAGGAATTCGTGTAAAAATACCTTTTTAGAAAATAAAACGTATTAAAAAAAAAAAAAAGTATGATACTTACTGTGTTAATACATTAATAATGAGATAGAACCAAGTTCTAGGCAAAAAACAACGAGTAAAAACGTTTTGAATATCATCGGGAATATAGATTTCATCCGACAATTTAGAAATTATTTCATTCAGATATAATGGTGAAGAACGATTATATTCTTGAATCTGACTTTTGATGTCAGAATGAAACATTAAGAAAAGTGGTAATCCGAGAAAATGCTAAAATTTAAAATATCAACATTCAAAAATTTAAAATTTATTAGTTAAATATATAAATTTATTAATATATTACGTACCGTGTAGAAAAGTCCTTCACGCCAATTGCTTCCATACTTCGCATAGGTAAACTCTTGGTATAAGCCCATTACACAAGATAAAATTAAAGCGATCGAGAGAAGAGAAATACCAATCATATAATCGGTGGTACTGGTAATGACAGATTCAGCCTATTTTGTAATTCATTATCCCTATATATTTCAGATTAATCCACGCTGTATGCAATATCCGGTCTTTGGAATAATCCTGATGTGATTTTCTCTCAATACCTTCGATCTGACATTGGCAGAACTGCGTGTAGCACATACTACTCCTAGAGTGACCATTATTACTGAAAAGACTTGTCTTATTGTATATCTAAAAGAAATTCATATGGAATCCATGGAATTATAAAATGGTAAAAATGATAAAATTCAGATTTTGATAATAATAAGTAAAATATTCGTAAAACATTAAATAATTATTAAATAATTTCTTAATATTATATCATACCTCTTACCACCAACTGCCCATCCTAATATCATACTTACAATTAATCCTCCACTACGAAAAATTATATGAAGAGGTACAGAGATTTTGTACCCTAATGCAATGTTATTCAAAATAGATACCGTGAAAAATAGAACCACTTGAATAACCCATCGATATACAGGAACTGTACGTCTTTTTAAACGCGGAATGGTAGTTGTATACTCAAGATTGTGAAATAAACCCTCGCAAGATATGAATAAATATTGACAAAATGTAAATAAATTGCCTATGAAATCAAAAATTCATAAGTTTTTTAGATTTCAAATTTAAGTTTACATATATAAATGCTACTTAAAAAGATTACCGCTTTTTGGAGAATCCCTGTAAATTAAAGTTAAAATCGTTAAAGTCGTTAGAATAATATATATTATTAAACACGCGCTTCCAACTAACCCTACTAGTAATTCCAGTGCAACAACATTACTGCAACAACCACCGAAAAGTAAAGTTCCAATTACGATCAAATTGGAAAGCGAATAATTATGAGACGTGTTATCGCCTTTTAAAGATATCATTATTATTTCCTAGTGATTAATTAGTTAGCTGATATTTATTCGACTAAAGCTAAAAAAAAATTCCTAATATAGAAATAAGAATTTACTGTGTATTGTCGAATTATGATTGGCCGATATGTAGGTTAATTAAATACATTTTTTATTACTAAATACAGAATATTTGTTATTTTCTGGTAAAAGGTATACGGTCAACTCTCTATAAATGCACCCTTCGGGGAATTAGCAATAGGGTGCATTTATAAAGGGGTGCATTTATAAAAAATTTTGTAAAAAAAATTTTAATTAGGTATTTGATATTTATATCACATTTATTTAATTATTATTACATAATTAAACAATTATTAATTTGGAAAAAATTCATCTAAACTAGATTATCATGACATATTGATTTTTTTTACTTTTATAAATTTTTCAATTGTATTTGCTAATTTAATTTACTTTTCTGAATTTTCTTGTTGAAATAAAAACATTTGTACATTTTCTATACTTTTTAATACTACACCAATATCAATAATAACTGGTTCAATACTATTATCTAATTCTTCAATATCTTCAATATTTTCTTCTGGCTTTTAAAAATATCAACAAGTTCTGTAATAATTTCATCATCTTTCAAATCTTCATAAACAATATTTTCTTCTGGTACAAAAAGAAATTCTTCTATATTCATTATATTAGGAAGGTGAAGTGCCTAAATATTTTTAGAAATATCATTTGTTAATTTACTATTATTTTTATTATTAATATTATAAGAATAACTATTAGAAAATTCATTAAAAGTAAGAATATTTGTATGATTCTAGCAGTTATAGATTGTTTCAACTGTAACTTCATCCTAACTTGAAATAATAAAACAAATTGCTTGCAAAACATTCATTTTAAATCTTGATTAAATTAATTAGCTTCAACTTGTTTCAAAATTCATCTAAATAAAATAATTTAAATTTTTAAATAATTAAATTAAATAAAATATTATTCAAATTTAATTAAAAACTTATTGAATATGATAGTTATGATAATGTTTTTGAAAAACATAATAATTCCAGCATCTATTGACTACATTCTTGAAGTTGTATTTGGAGGTAAAAAATGAACATCAACATGTGAAAGATCTAAACCTTCAATTTTATAACTTCTACAATTATCCAATAATAATAAAACATGTTGTCTATTATGTTTTATTGTAACCTTTTGATTAAAATTACAAAGTCACTCTTGAAATAAAGTGATAAGTTATTGGTAAATTATGAATATTAATTGTTTTAAAACATCTGGGATTTGTATATTTTCCAATAATTAATGGTGGTAATTTGTGTAATCCATCTACATTTGCATATAATACTATTGAAAGATATTCTTTATTTTTTTTATGACCAGAAAATCTACGAGTTGCTAATATATAACCTGGTTTTAACCTTTTAAAAATAAAATAAAATAAAATAAAATAAATAAAATATTAATAAATTTATAAAATTTAAATAAAATTTAATAAAGTAAAATTATATTTTACCAATAAAAAAGATCTGTTTTATCCATATTATAAATTTGTTCAGGAGAATAATTTATATATTTATTTTGTAATAATGGAAGTGTCTCTTCAATAGAAACTTCATTTGTCAATGCTACTTCACCTTGTAATTTTATTTGTTAAATTTTATTATATTTTTTAAAACTATATAACCAACCAGAAAAAAATAATAAAGTATTTTTAAGAACACCTAATCCTGTTGCTAATAATTTTGCCTTTTTAATTAAAATAGAATTATCAAGAATAATTCTATATTAATAGCTTAAAACAAATTTCTTAAGTGCCAATTCAAGTTCAGAAAATATTATTGATTTATGTCATTTTTGTATTGAATCAATTTGATCATTAGAAAGTTATTTTTCTTTTGTTTGTAAAATTCTTGTAATAGTACTTTTATCAATCTTTACTTTCCATTTTTGTTCTATCTATTCTATATATTCAGATCTGGTCTTTTTATTTTTTATTAATATAAAGACACAATTCATATTTTTAAGTGTCAGTTAATGTAATTTTTTTTATTGAACTTATTTGGTGATTCAAAGATCTAAAATTTTTTTTATATTTTAAAATTATAATTTAATTAATTAATTATTTTAAATATTAACACATAAAAAAAAATCTAAACTTTTACAATTACAAATTGATGAAATAGTTGAAATGGTAAAAATAGAAAAATGACAAAATGGCAAAATAACAGAAGGATAGACTCTTTTTTTATTTTTTTTTTATTTTGTATTTTATATTTTTAAAAATAATTAATTTATTTATTTTGTTTTTTAACTGAAAAAATAAAATAAAAAATTAATATATACAATCAAAACGGAAAAATGGAAAAATGAAAAAAATGATAAAATAGTAAAATAATAGAACAGTAGACTCTTTTTTTATTTATTTTATTTATATTTTTTAAAAATAATTAATTAATTTATTTATTCTTTAACAAAAAATAAAAAAATAAAATAAAGAATAATACTTCAGTCACAAATTAACAAAATGGCAAATTATACAATGGTGAAATAACGAAATGACAGAATAGCAAGTTTTTTTTTATTTTTATATTTTTTAAAAATAATTAATTAGATTTTTTTTGATTTCAATTATTATTTCACATGATTTAAAATCACATGGGTACATTTATTAAGAGAATGTTAATATAAACAGAGATCAAAAAATCATTGCACCATGCAAAATAAAAGGGGTGCACTTAGTTATTATTTTTCAACATGGGAATTGGATTAAAGGGTGCATTTAAAAAGGAATGCACTTATAGAGAATACATTTATAGAGAGTTGACTGTAATATTATTTTTAATAGATAAATTTAAATTATGGTATTTTCTATAAATTCTTCCAATGAAACTTTTGAAATAAACTTTAATGAATAAAAATAATTTTATAGGAATATAATTTATAGAATTTATAATTAAAGATTTAAAAAAATAAAAATTAATAGAAAATTCAAGACATTATATATATTATATTTTAAGTATTCAAGAAAATTTTTACAATCAAAAATCATTATTGCAAAAAATTATTGAAGTACTTGAATAAAGTTATATTTAATCCAAAGTTCTTTCAAATCAGATATATAAAATATATTAGAAAATTTGTAACAATTTAAAATTTATAAAATATCATTAAAAAAAATTAATAGAATTATAAGTAGAATATGTTTTTTATTTTTGAATAAATTTTTATACTTATAAGTATACTTTATAATTAAATTATTATATCAATTATATTAATTATAAAATATCAAGAAATTTTAATAGACAATAATTAATGGAGGATTTTTGTTTTTAACAAGGATTCCAGAGGATTTTTTATATTTTTTAAATTTGTTTGTAATTTATAAAGTATAGAGTAATTTTTTATTAAAATATTTCTAAGATAGAAAAAAGAACCTTATTCTTTGTTATAAGATAATATATATTTTATCCTAATAGTATTGATATTTATAGAGTTATCTTAGTTTAAAGAAAAGTATTTGTAAAAAATTGTGTAAAAATTTTCTATATGATTTTTTTTTAAACTAGAATAACTTTATAAATATAGAATAAAACACATATCATTTTATAGTTAAGAATATAATTTTTTTATCTTAGGAATACTTTAAATAACAGTTTTACATTTTGTAAATTATAAACAAAGTCAAAAAAATATATAAATTTCTGTAAATTTTCACTATATTTTTTCAAATTTACTTATAATTTTTTACTAAATATTTGTAAAATAAAAAAAAAGATCTTATTCTTAATTACAAAATAATATATTTTTTATTTAATAATAGAATAGTAGACTTTTTAGATATATGGCAAATGTTTTTTTGAAAATATTAATTATTTTCTATAGATTTTTAAATTTTTACTTATTTCTTAATAAACTTATATACAATAGTATTTTATAGTCAAAAACTATATAGAATGATATATTTTTTCTAATAATACTTCCTTAGTATATTTTTTAATATTTGATTTAATTATTATTTAACTTTTTACCACTGTAAGTACACTTTTCAAGGTATATGTAAAATAGTTATAGAGTATAATTATTTGTTTAATTAGTATTTAGTTTTTTATTTTAGTAGAGTAAAGTAAAACATAAGTATTTTTTAGATTTTCTATTAATAAAATAGATAGTAAAAATATAAATAAATTTTTTAGATATATGACAGGTTTTTTTTTCTAAACCTAGTCATTTTCTTTAGTTTTTTGATTTTTTAATACTTTCTTAATAAACTTATATATCATATATTGATAATGTATTTTATATATATATAACACTTGTAATATATTTCTTTGATATCTTATTTAATTACTATTTGACTTTCTGCTATTGTGAAACATATGCACAAGAGTATGTGTGATATAGATATGAAGTATAATTATTTGTTTAATTAGTATTTGACTTTTTCTTTTTGCCAAATAAAATGAAACCTATAAAATTTCTAGTAATAAGACAAATAGTAAAAAATATAAATAGTAGAACTAATATCAGAACAAAACTTATTGTTTTACAATAGACATTTAAATTTTTAGATATGTGTTTGGTGTATTTTTTTTCTGATTATATTCAAATATTAATAAATAAATAATTATTTAACACTAAGGAATATAAACTTTTAAGTAAATATAATACAAATATAAAACATAATGAAATATCTAATTATCTGTTTAGATGCAGAGTATAAAATTATATAATATAATATCCTTTAGAATATTTTTTGTAACATCTACAAACAGAAGCTATAGTTTTTTCACAATTATTACATAAAACATATTTTTTAACTTTTCAATATTTATAACTTTCTTCAGGATGTTAACATTCACATTTATAGATTTCTTTAGAACATATATTTGTATATATACTTACCTATCAAAAGTATGGAACTAAAAATTTTTTTTAAATTTCATCAAAAAATTTTTGGAGATTATATTAAGAAAGGAAAATTACTATAATAATTAATGATAAAAATATTACTAATACATAATAAAAAGAAATTTAAATTAATAATTAAAGAAATATAGATAATAAAAAATAAAAATATAATTTGAGTATATGAAAAAGTCACTAGTATAATATCAATTTATTTAACTCTTAGTCATATAATCATCATTGTATAATCCAACATCCTACTTGTTTTAATTAAAAAATATCTGCTAAAGCCTTAACTAGCAAAGACAAAAGTAATAGCATTAAAACTGAAGATAAAATTGAAGAAGAATTAGTCTCAACTAACAAAAACAAAGGTAAAGACATCAAAACTAAAGACTATAAAAGAATAATTGAAGAGGCACTAATCTCAACTAACAAAAACAAAGAAGAACTAATTACAGTTGGTGAAAAAACAGTTGATGACTTTATGACATCTGAATTGATGAAAGTGTATAAAAAATTAGATCAAAAGATAAGAGAACATTATCATAAATATAAAACTGATGAAGGAAAAATCATTATATTAGAAACAACTTTATATAAATAAAAAAAAGATGTATACTTGAAAAGTAATAATTTTATTGATTATTTTTTTATTTTTTTTTACTAAATCAAATTAGTTTTTTCATTATTATTTCTTTCCCTATCTTTAGAAATATGAAATAAATTCAGTTTTTATTGTGATTATTACACTTTTTACCATTGTCATCACTATACTTGTATGTAAAATTATTTTGGAACTCTGAAATTATAATTTTGAGAAAAAAAAGTGAAATAGTTTTTCATAGAAAACAAAATTATTTTACTTAAAATCTAAAATTTTTTAATTACCCTTTGATTGAATATATATATAACTAGATACTTTTTTTACTTCCATATATAGAATAGATTCTGCATAAATCTCAAAAAATTGAAATATCTCAAAAATCCAAAATCAATTTTGAAAATATGTATACTATTACTATTACTGCAACTTATATTAAGATAAAAATTTTACTAAAATTTTTATAATTATTCTGAATTGTATTATATTTGGAACTCAAACTTTTATTTTACTTTTGAAATTAATGAAAGAAGCTTTTGTTAATAAATCTCATGTAAATTTAATAATAATTATGTTATCTCCAACATGTATTAAAATAATATCAATAATATTTTTCAAGATTTTTGTTATTTCATTAGTTTTGACAATTTCATGAATAGGGATTGAAGTGTCAATATCAAACCATTGTTTGAGATAGCAAATGAGATGTTTTTTAAAGGTTATTAATATTGATTCATGTTATTTTTCATTTTATTTATATGAAAAAATCAATTAACTGTTATTTAAATATACTGAAAATTTGATTTGATAAATAGAATTCTATAATTGTTCTATTCAATATTAGTCAATATTGTGTTTCTAATTTTTTTTTACTGAAAACTATATTTATAGATGATTTTATTATTCAAAACTAGATATTGATTAAATTATCTGATACAGGATTTATTTAAAAAAAAATTTTTCCTAACTTATATAATCTTTTTTACAGCAGAATCTTTTTTTTTAAACTTGAATGTGTAGTATTTTGTTTAAAATTTTTTTATACCATATGTAATTAATGTGAATATAATTCTTCAGATCTTTTTTTTAAATAATTTCAGTAACCATATTTGAAAGTTCAAGTAATATATATTTTATCATATATATTAAATGTGTGACTATTTTTACTCTATTCAGAATATTGATAACAAATAAAACTGGATTATTATTAATGTTGATATAATGTGTAGTTTAGATAATTTAGATATATGAAAAACTTATAAGTGTAGGCAATAGTATAGAAAGAATAGATAGATTTTTTATTCTTTTCAATTTTATTACAATCAATAAAGTGTATTAATGCGATTTTATATAATATTTTTTTCATGTAATTAAACTTTTGAATATAATCACATTTTATATAAAACAACAACAAATACACAATCCACAATTGATTTATTGAGAGAATTAAATATCAAGCTTGTAACTAATATTATTAAATTTAGAAAGAAGAATGTTGAGATTAAAGCTGAAAATTCAAAATTAAAACAAGATAAGGAAGAGATTGAAGTCAGATTCATAAAACTGGAACAAAGTGATAGAGAAAAAACTGATCTTATTGCTAAACTAGATCAAAGTGATAAAGAAAAAAATAACCTTATTGCTAAACTAGATGATGATATTAAGGAAATCAAGTAGGATCAAATTGTTACTATTTCACAAGGAGTAAGGCTTCAGAATCTAATGCATTCATGTTAAACCCCTGATTTATTCTCAGATTATTCAGAATCACAAATAACTTCTTTACCTATTGGAGATTATTCTGACAAAGAGATTTTGTCTCATTATGAAATAAATAACTCTATAACTACTAATATTACACCTGTAACTTCTGAACAGATAAAAAATATATATGATAGTATATCTAATTCTGATATATGTCAAGAATTAGAGACTTGATATTCAGCATCTCCTATCTATGTAGAATCTATATTATTGAGAAAGATAAGGAGATTATTGAATTTCTGGAATTACAAAATAAAAAAAGAATTAATAATGAAATAAGAGAAAGAAATTGGAAAAAGAAGCTGAATAATCAAGAGGTATCTCAACTCCTCAGGAAGTAAAGCATTTATCACTTAATTATAATAAAAATTTAAATAGTTTAGAAATAAAACTTTTTTATTCTGAGTTCAAATTATTTACTAATTTATTATTTAATCAGAAAATTTTCTATAATCAAAAAGTGAATAGAATTTAATATGTGAGTTATCTATATTTATTAACAAGAAAAATTTTTAAACTCTATATCTGATAAACAAATTCTTGACCATATCAATTTTGTTGAAAATATACTAGATAAAATTGATCTAACTTTAGTTTTTGCATTACATCTAGCTTATTTATTTGACAAGGTTAAAAAAACTAGTTAGAAAGAAATTTTACATTGGTATTTTTATAGTAAAGAATTTGAAAAAAAAGTTAAAGATATTAATATAGAAAATAAAATCAATAATCAAATGGTAAGAATACAGATTTACAATAAAATAGAACTATATCTTTTTAATATCAAGAGAGAGTATTTATATAAAAAAACTCAAAAAGCTAAAAATATTTATATGTTGTTCAAAGAAATAGGAATAAATAAAATCAAGCAGGTCACATATAGTGCTGATGTTATTTCTAGTTTAACAGAAGATCAAATTTAAAATATAATAGTAGAGCTAGTACCAAGGTACATAAATTTTTCTGAATGTCAAAAAGTAATAGGTGTAAAGATTTTTCATATACATATAACTGAACCAACTATTAAGGTAAGTACTGTTTCTACTTATTTAAAAAAATTACTTTAGCACAAAGTGTCATTTCTTCCAAAATAAATATAAAAAATGATTACTCTCACATTATTAATAAGATATTAGAAAGTATTCTAATATATTTTTGTATGATAATGATAATTATTTTAATAACTATGTAATCAGTATGAGCTTGTATGATAATACATATAAAATAGTTAATTTATTATTATTATGTTCAACATATAGTCAATATCACAAGAAATCTATAAGGATGGATATAGAAAAGAATCTTATTGTATTAGTAAGGTGCTTTAAATTACTAATTTATAAATTGTTCAACCTAATGGATATATAAATATTCAGAACAGTACTACTTATTCTGTTATTGCTCATATCAAAAAGAAAAAATATATGTCTATTTGTTATAATCTATCATCTTGCCTATATTTGCACACAAAATTATTTTGGGATCCTGAAATTGTAATTTTGAAAAAAAATTAAAATAGTTTTTCATAAAAGAAGAAATTATTTTACTTAAAATCTAAAATTTTTTGACCATTCAAATTTATTTTTTGATCACTTAGATTTATTCTTTAATTAAATATACATATAACTAAATACTTTTTTTATTTCCATATATAGAATAGATTCTGCATAAATTATAAAAAGTCAAAATATCTCAAAAATCCAAAATCAATTTTGAACATATGTATAGTCTTGCCATAAAAATATTAACAAAACTAATATCTTCAATATATGAAATTTTAATTAATAAGAATTCTATATTTTGACAAAAAATAAATGAATTTAATTTTCAATTTTTTATCATCCCTACAAGTGTATTTTTTAAATATTCAAGTATGCCAAATGTAATTCAAATTTCTAAGAATAAACCAGTTAGTATATTCATCAGGAAATTTTTTCTAGTGAAAACCTTCGAAAGTTAACGTTAACGTAAGTATTTCGCTATTTTTCGATATGTTA